ATTTGGACTTGCATTTGTAATGGGTAACAACTGAGCTGTGTTGCAAACTTTTTGTGGCTTTAATTATGCAGGCCTAACCTTTTCCATTCCAATTTTCACAGCCCATAGGCAGCCTTTGTTTCTTTCCCAAATGTAGCTGCAGATCAACTGCAACACAGTCACAGTGTCCTGCACCAGGGACTAAACTCTCTTAAACTTGTGACTAACAAAGGTGTACCCTGAGTTTCCTTCAGTTTTCCTACTCAGGAATGCTACCTGTTAGCTGCCTGCCTCAAAAGCTGTAATTGTATTGACTTTTTCTTGAAGGAAGAGCCATTTGTCTGGCAGGAGCCTTTGTAAATTCAAATATTCTCTCAGGAGTTTTCTATTCTAATGTTAGTTTAGGATTGTTATTAATAAAGTGAGTTTTGTTTCCTTGACAGGTGCCTTTGTAAACAGACACCTTTGGAGGAGAAAAGATGAAGAACATGCCTGGCTCATCAATCACTGATGCGCTAATGTCATCCCAGTGTCCATGTGTGAAAGAAAAAGTAACTTTCTGCCTTGACTTCAGGCAAGTGTCTGTTGTATCCTATACTTCACTTGACAAGCTTTGGGAGAATCTAGGTAAATGACAGTGCATGTTTGAAATTAATTTCCAAAAAGACAGTGGCAAATTTTGGTCATATGCAAGACATGAGGTACTGTTGCTTTAGACCCTCTCTGTTCAGTGAAATGCCATTCAGCTTACCTGGGGGGCCACAGCCCTTTTCTGGAGTCTGATGTGCCATCAGACACAGACAGCATACAGAGGGGGTGATCTGCATGCTGCTGCAGGGCACGAACATACTCTGTATCTGGAGCTGAATGCACTGTTGGGTGCTGAGAAACATGGTGTCTATAGGTTCTTGGCAGTCTGTCTAGATGATCCTTGTAGGACCCTTCCCATTGAATTCTTCTGATGAGAGGTGTGCCATGGTTCCTCAGCTGTCTTCCCTGTGTCTACTGGCAGGTCAGACCACATTTTGCTCAGGAGACAGATGGGGAAAACATTGATTCCAAGCTGGCAGTTATTCTATCACAGGAATAATAATACTTCATCATTGTTATGAAGGAATGCCTGGCAGTTAAATGAACTAGATCCTTGTGGAGTCATCAGTGAAGGACACTTAGAGAGTATGAGATACAGCAGTCAGATTATGGTGCTTCCTGAGAGTGGTTTTAAATATCCAGAGTCTCAAAATTCTTAGATCACAAAGGCAAAATCATCATATCTAAGAGCTCTGTGTAGCACTTTCTTCCAGAAAAGTGATTATTCCCTCTGTATATGCAAAATATTTAACATTTTACATCCCTTGCAGCAAGGAGTCACATATAAGACTTGTATGTTTTATGACAGTATTTTCTTGTGCTTATTTTTAAATCTGCCACTCTTGCTTGAAGTTCCCTAGTTATTGTATGAGAAGAATAGTGTTTTCCTGTTCACTTTCACTACTCCACACATTACTCTCTAGATCCCTGTCTCTTCCTCTATACCTTTGCACAATCCTGGACTGTTCAGGCATCCAGAAGCTGCTTTGTTGTCAGCTGTACTGCTTCTCTCCTTTTACTGTTCCTCTGCATCAGCTTTGAGATGGACACATGGACCAGTGTTCTGGATAGAGGTGCAATGTGGAATAATACTATGATATAATTTTGTTCCCTTTTACTTTACTGTTATCTTTGTAAGTAGTTTCTAGCATTCCTGTTGTTTTTTGACTGGCCCTGAGTTGATATTCTCATAGGAGACTGCCTCAGTCTTATTCCTGAAACAATTAACAACTCAACTCCTGACACTTAGTGGGTAAGATTAGGGCTGTGTTTTCTGTATGTGTCACTTAATACTATTTAATCCCAAAGTTCATCTGTTGTTTTATTGCATAGTATCTCAATATTATGCGATGTTTCTGCAGCATGCTGTGGTTTTTTTCTTTACTGTGATAAGTAGACAGTTACTGCATGATTCTCATCTCAGTATTTCTTTTATCCAGACCATTTATGAATATAGCAGAGATTCCTGTGAGATAGTGACCTGGCTTCAGAAAAAGCATCATTATTTATTTGGCTTATTTACTTGTTACAAATGGCTTTGTTGTTTTTAAAATACCATTATGTTATTGTTTAGGCTTCCTCAAGGCTTTTTTTTTCCCTCTTTGACAGGCAAAATGTATTTGCTCTAACATGATGTCTTGAAATAGTCTCTCTGTCTCCAGAAAACCTGTACTTTAAGGTTCCTCTTTTAGGGGATTTTTATAATTTTATATGATTCCAGTCTTTGGAATTCAGCATGGCAGTAGTTGATCTGGTTTTGGGTATCTGTGGAAATGCTGATGTAGTTCAGGCACATGGCAGAAAGATGATAAACCAATTGTTTGTACTGGTCAGTACTGAATCAAGAGTTGTTTCCCATTTTGTGGATTTCCTAGCTGCCCTTTCCTGAAACAGTTATTCACAACATCTAGAAATCCAATATTATCTGAGTGATCACTGTAAAAAGTTTCACATTTTCCTTCAGAGTAATTAAAATAATTGGAATAATAGTTCCCTGGGATTTCCACATTCCATTGCCTTCCTGCCATCATGTTCCCTTTATACCTGCAGTGTCCTCGTTTAAGGTAAACATTCTATGTCTGTGCCATTGATGTCTTAGAGAATTCTGTGAAACATGGAAAGCATTGGTTTTTACTTTCTGTCACTGTATCCTGTTCATATCAGACTTTTTAAAGCTACTTTTGTTTACTCTTTGACTTTTGTCAACATCTATCCCATCCTTTACTTGAGGTTGCAGTGTCTATCATAGGACTCAGATAAGTGCATCCTGTGTGCACCACTCTGCTTTCTTCTAACTTGTCAGTTTGAAACTTCTGAATGATCTTCCTGATGTGAAGTGCAGATCCTGTTTGTCTCTCACTTCAGGTGGAAATTTGGTCATCTTCTGCTAGGCTTTATCTACTCTAGAAGCTCCCAGTCCCTGATGAACCTGAGCCTCACTTCCTTGCTCCATTGTTTTAGTCGTGCATTGAGACTTTGCCTCCTCTCCAGCTGTGTTATGGTGGGGGTCCTGGTCTTTGGCATCTTATGTTCTGCCTCCAGAATCTCTTGTCTGCCTTTTATGTGGTACCCAGGTAGCCCACAACCCGTACCTCCCTCCCAGCATTTCCCAACTTATCCAGGTTTTTTTTGAAGTTTGATGGTACAGCACCATCAGGCACATCAGTACACTGTCTTTGGCATCAGGAACCAAACCTGTCTGGTACCTGGCAACTGAATGAATAATGGCTAATGCCTGTCCCTTTTTCTCAGCTGGGGTTTCTGCTGCCTGGAAGTATTGTCAATACAAGAAGATACTCACACACCTTGTGCAGAGAAGGGACCATTGACCAGGATTGTAACACCCTTTATCATTTCAATGCCTTCCTGCCATTGAACTAGGGCTGGAAAAGCTTTTCAGTGCCCTAAAAAGCCTCCTCTGTTTAACCTCTTTCCTTGAGCAGCAGTAGGTTTTTTGCTAGCAGGTGAGACTGTTCAGGGATTGAAATGAAGTCTCTGTGCTGTGCATTCTTCCACCTATGCCACAAGAAAGGACTCTATGTCTGAGGATCATGGGCTACCTGGAATGAATCTGTCTTTGCAGTACCTGCACATGAGTCAGGTAATCATATGGCACTTTATACTTTACCCTGGAAATTGTCACCCTCTATCTAGGCTTCTGATTGCATTTCTCTTGCACATCTGGACTGACCTGAGTGTTTCTATATGGGATAGCAATGCAGCTTCCAGTTAAAGAATTGAGAGGCAGTTACATTATGTGCATCATTAAAAACTGTATTAATTGTGTTTTGTAACAAATTATCCTGAGATATGGACTGAATCCAAATTATGAGAAGCTGAGGCTTATCTTTAGTCTATGTTATTCAAAAGAAGCTGGTCTTCTGCAGAAAACAGTCTTCCTGTTACTTGGCTGTGGACTTGATGTAAGGTGGAAGGAAGAGCTCTAGCCATGTAAGGTGTATTTGCACCAGAGTGTTACTAAGCTGGTGATCCCTGAGCTGCAGAGGGGTCAAATGAAGGTCATGAAGGTGGAGGCAAAGAGTCCCTAGGGGTTAGAAAGTTTATTGCAGCAAAGCAAAGCAAGGATGTGCCACACGTGTATCTTGTTGTGATGTTCTGTCTTCTTTATTTGCCTTCTGAAACAACAGGGCTATGTGATCACATATATCTTCTAGTAAGTTTGATGATACAAAGAAGACTTAAAATTGAAAAAAGTGTTCCCAAGAACAGATTGAGAAATGCTACTTTAGGTTAGAATTTGAGCTTGTGTTAATTGATTGCCAGTTAACTTGCTCTCACTAGCACAAGTTGAAGTTCTTATTTAGGCAAGCTACAAAGATTTATATCACAAATGTTTATGACATAGAAGAATTTTTCCAGGACAGAAATGTGTGTGTGTGGCCAGGTGGACACAATTAAAATTAGTGTCTAAAGAGTTAAAGTTTAAGAATGACAAACTTGAATTTAGCTGTTGTTATGAGGGCAAATTCTTGCCTGGCCAAATGACCAATTTTAAGGAACTTCAAGGGAGTTAAGAGGCACATGCCATTGCTTCTACATCAGTTTATTTCAGTTCCGTACCTGACCTAGGACTGAACATTTTTTCTTTTGAACATGCAAATATTTTGCATTGGTCCTGCCCATACTTTCTGATTTGCTCTTAATTATACCAAAGAAGGAAATAAACTCCGCGTCCTTGCAAAATTTTCATGGCTCTTCTGATTTGGGGTGTTGCAGGGTGTAGCTAATGCTCTGAAAAGGCTTCGGGATTCCTGGATGAAAGGTGTGATGAAAGAAGTGTATTGTTATTGTTTTAGGGGAGGAATCATGCTACTGGGTAAGCCTCTGTCACTGAGACTTGCTGGACTTGTTTGTTCTGACTTGCCTATGACTCCTTTCTTTCTTAATTCGGGAGATAAAGCCTCAAGTCTATGCTGAGATGCTGCACAATTTGTTGTGGCGTTCAGGACGGTACATCTCCAGACAGAAGGGCTTCTTGCTGACCTCTTAGTGGTACCCAGAGGTGAGTGCCACAGGCTTGCCCCTTGGTAGTTTGGGCAGCATGGCTACATTGCATGTGGATTTATAGGGCACTTTGAGCTTTGACTGAGGGTGTGGGGAGAACGGCGCTAGTTCTGAGCTTACTTCTGATTTGATCTGCCTTTCGTGCAACAGTAATCCTTCTGATATTTCAGCCTTTCTCTTCACCCAAAATGCATTTGTTTTTTGAGAATTCCCCATCTCCTCTACAGCACGGTATGACAAATCGAGGAGGCCTATGTGGGGAGCAGGTGAGAGTTATCTCACTCTGTCCTGACTGTGATCTACTGACTGTGCTAGTGCAGTTAGAATTTGTTGCAGTCACAACTGCTGAACTAGAGGTTGAGCAGAGTATAGCTGGTAAAAGTAGATTCTTGTGCTCTTGTTTATTTTCATGGATTTTGTATGCAGCCAGTGAAGTGTTAATCTGTGCAGAATCAGCTTGGAAACACACCAAATCCGGCACCTGACCATTTCGCCCGCCCTGCCTCGGAATGAAAATCAAACTGAAAACCCAGGAAGACTGTAACTGTTGTTTGGTGTCCTGCTTTTGGAGTAGATTTCAACAAGTCAAAGCAGGATGAAGGGAGGCAGGCAGAGCTGTTTTCAAAAGCTGAAAACCTGAGATCCATTGCTATAATCTACAACTGGTATACTAACAGAGTAAGATACTTGTCTATGACCAACACAGATGGAAGTGGAAATCTGAGAGGTAAAGATGATGTAGAAGTTGCAGAACCTTATCCTAAACCGATTGCAATCAGTGGCCATGTACTTAATATTTTCTTTATGCTGATATGGCCTCACACGTTCATGCAGATTGTAAAGTACTTACGTAGTAAGTAGCCCTCCTACTTCTACTAAAGTGTATATCAGAATGTGGGAGTCTTTCTCAAGATATTGTCTGTGGCAGACAACTGTAGAAAGATACATTATTGAACAAAGATATTTCAGCTGGCATTACAGTTACGTCCCACAGACTGTTGTAGTGGTATGGGAGGCTAGCTCTATCCCAACAATTAAAGAACTCATAACTTCCAAAAAGTTGTATGCAAAATGGATGAGAGCGTAAGGAACAATAAACCTTTTGTGCTGATTGCAAAGGTGATCAAATAACCAGGGAAGCATATATGAGCAGCATTTTGGCATCATGGATATAGCTTCTGGTAGGCACTGTGTTAAGACATCCCAAAGACTGAATGCTGCCCTTTAGTCTTTATGCAAATGACAAGAACAGTATTTGGAGCTGTTGTTTTTACCTAGTTGAAGTGTGCTCCTGGGAAGCAGCAAGACCTTGGTAAAATCGGATGGTTAAGGGGAGGAGCTCTATTAGTATGTGGCAAATACATCAGTGATGTTTTATCTGACTGCAGAGGGGTGGCATGCAGCACCTACTGTTTTTGTGGGACGTTTGAGGGTGTGGGGAGATCAAGCTGATTCAGTGTGACGCATAGGAGAACACACATTTTGTTTCCCTCAGCAGATCCCTTCAATGTTTGGAAGTCTTCCATTGTATCAGAATTGCTTTGAGAGATAACCAACACTGAGTGATTGAGGCTGGTAGGTAACTGACCTCATCCAAACAAGGGTCTCGCAGTACTTAGGCAGGCACTAGCCGCTTCTGTTTCAGTTCTCAAAGTAGCAGAAGTTGTTGTCCCGTTCTTTTGGAATTGTGTGTGTCCTGAGGATGCCACAAGAGCAGACTAGAAGGGTTAGGTTGGTGTGGTTGCTTGTGGTAAAGGCAGGAGTGAAATTAGCATGTGTTGCTTCAGTGGCCTTGTGCTTTTGTTACAGGCCTCCTGGACTAAGCCTAATGTGTTTGAGTTGCTGCCGTTCCCGACCACTCTGCCAAGGCACGTAGTTTCAGGAACCTGGTCTGGATTTTCAAACAGCACACACTAGGCCAGCAGATTAGTCTGTTCAGTTGTCTTCTGAAAGATCCTATTTCTAGGAAGAGTGATTGTAGGTATGTCCCTGAACCCATCATTGACTGGAAAAACTGGTCATGGCTATAAATGTGGACCCTCCTCAGCAGATTCACCACCCAAGCTCTGCTACTGCCTCTTCTGAGACTACTGGACTAAGAGTTATCAGGCATAATGATAAAAAATATAATAATCAATTCCTTATGGGAAGACAGCAGCAGATCAGATAGAAGAGGCTGCATATTTTTTCTTTGCAAAGCATGGCAAAATACCTTCAGTAAATAGCTGGCACCAGAAAACCTGGTTTAGATTAATCTAAAAGCAGATCTAGTTAGGGGTGCTATGAGGGCGTAAGAAGTCAAAAAATATCAAGGGCAGATCTGTAAAACAGAACAGGGTAGCTGTTCCCTGCTTATCCAGCAGAAAGTTACACTTCCTTTTCTTGTCTGAACAGACATTTTCTGATTAGTTTGCTGGTATGGCTCTTGCTGTGGCTTTTGATAATGCATAGCAGCTCAACCAAAAGCGATGGATAAGCTCGATATAGTGCATCAAGGCCTGTCAGGCAGAGGTGGGAGCTGAAATCTCATCACTTGCATTGTGAATGGACATTATAACTTTTTCGAGACTTTGGTCCTGGATGGGAGAGGACGAACAGCTTGTCAGCTGTGTATTGTGCTTGTCTTTTTCTTTTGGGTAAATGCTCCAAATTGGAAGGTAAATACTTCATTTGAGGCTGATCAGAAGTCCAGCCTAAAATCCTATCTACTTTCTCCTTGGTTTCACAAGGAAGAACAGACAATTTGAGCTCCACAAAATTTCAGTACAACCCTTCTTCCTAATGTGCCAGTAACTGTTAATGTAGCTTTATTTCTTTCTATATTTCACTTGTTAAAATATCCTGTATGTCTCTCTAAACACAACTTTGGTGTATTGAAAATACTTAATTCTATACAAACTATAGCTATTTTCAAAATAATTCATTTGGATTCTTTTTTTATTTCAGAATGGAATAACTTTTTAGTGATCAAACCACAGTCTTTGGGTCAGAGTCAAGATATGTAAACTAGAAGACTTAATAACTTGCTCTTCCAAAGTAATCGTGATATGAAATGGAGAGATGCTGCTGTATCCATGGATTATCTTGGGCTCATTGGGAATGACGCATGTTTTAAATGAGCACAGGGATTGCTGGAGGAGGTTTAATGTTTACCAACAGTATTGCCAAGATAAGCAGTTTTGTACTGAACTAAAAGATCTTGAAACTTCCCACTAGTTCACTGCAGGCTGAGAGCTGCCAGATACAGACTGTGAGGAGGGGGTTTTCTGAGCAGAGAGGACTTAACCTTTGAGGTCTCCTGGTGAAGACTGACTGCTGATCTCTTGTTAAGGTTTGCTCCTGTGGAATGGGAGGTATCTCATCCACGCTGGAGGATGAATATATTGCTGTTACCTGAATCCCCCTGTCTGCCTCCCTGAGAGTTAATTTGCAGCTTACTGGAGTTTGGGCAGTAAAAAAGTTGAAGGCTGTGACATAAGGAAGCAAGAAATGTGAGACTGTACAAACCACTTGACTCTGGAAGGCATCTTCACAGACTGCTGTGGTATTAGGGGTCTTCTGACGAGAATGCCTATTAAGCAATGCCTCTTTGTCACAAAAAGAAAGAAAGTTTGTATCCATGGTTGAAGGCGATGAAATCCACTCTGTTTCTGCTTTCATTAGCACTGCAGAGGCACAGTGTTTCTCTGGCCAGCGAGTGTTGCTGGGTGGAGCAGAATTTGCTTGGCTACTAGAGTGCAGAGAACACTATGTCTGGTTCCTGACAGGGAAATTCACCTGCCGCTAAACTATTTAACTATGGAGCTGGATGTCCCAGGCACAGGAATCCCTGTCAAGTGGTAGAGCATGACAATTCTGCTATCCATGGCACCATAGCAAAAAGGCTGCTGGGGTGGGTAGGGTGGGGGGACGCAGAAGAGCTAGTCAGAGGTGTAATGTGTATGAATAATGAATGCGTCGAGTGGACATAACCTGAAAAAGAGCTGTCTTTCACTAACCATCTTATCCTCTGGCTCAGCAGAGCTAGACCAACCTAGTTGTGAGATAAAAATAGACCAAAAAAGCCCAAAATATGGGGATTGCTGAGCTGGGTCCTGCACACAGACATTACAGTTGAAGGAAACATGGCAACTGTGCACTGTGGGAGTTGATGAGACTTGGTGCTTCCAATGCAAAATAGATTTGTTTTTCTGTTCTGTTACTTATCTTGGCAAGATGGAAGTCAAAAACATCCTGCTAAAGGGAGGAGACATTTTTTGTGTTTGAAGAGATATTTCCACATTAATTTGTATATCTTATATACAAATATATAGCCTATATACAAATTAATTACCTTTATGGGAATGTTGGTTGACACCTTGCGGGTGCTGGGGGACGAGAAGTGCAACATAACCCAGCAATATGTGCTTGCAGTCCAGAAAGCCAACCATATCCCAGGCTGCATCAAAAGTACTGGGGTCAGCAGGTTGAGGGAGGTGATTCTACTCTACTTTTGCAGTGTACTGGAGTACTGCACCCAGCTTGGGGGTTCCCAACATAAGAAGGGCATGAACCTATTGGAGCAAGTCCAGAGCAGGGTCATGAAGATGATCAGAGGGTTGACAGGATGAGTGATAGGACATGGGAGAATGGCTTAAAAGTGAAAGAGAGTAGGTTTAGATTAGATATTAGGAAGAAATTCTTCACTATGAAGGTGGTGAGGCAGCCTGGAACAGGTTGCCCAGGGAAGTTGCACATACCCCATCCCTGGAATTGTTCAAGGCTAAGCTGGATGGGGCTTTGAGATCCTGATCTAGTGGAAGGTTTCCTGCCTATGGCAGGGGGGTTGGAACTAGGTGATTTCTAAGAGTCCCTTCGAACCCAAACTGATCTATGTTTCTATGATATAAATGCAGGAATATATGGAAATGCTTCCTTTAAAAAATCAGTGAAATCAGTATCAGAAGTGGTGTAGTCTTTTATTCCTCATCTCCCGTGCTTTCATTTCCCCCATCACAACGGCAGTTCCTCAGGTATCTGTTTCCCCTTGCAAGTCAGTGTGACCTGTGGAGAATCAGCAGTTCTGAAATGCTGGAGGAGAAGGGGGTCTGTTCTTCCAGAGTTTGTCACTGTAGCTGGTATTTGCACAAAAAGGAAATAGAGATAGATTGTTGGAAGGATAGTGCTGCCTGTGAGAGCATGAGTCCCACAGGGAGTGAGATGCTCAGATTTTTTGAATCTTAATCTTTTGTATCTCAAGCATAGGCCATGTCTTGAGGAAATCTGTCTGTATACAGTTCAAGAAATGCAGGTTATGATACAAGAGTAGTGTTGCCTCAATATCTGCAGTCAGCCATATGCTGCCAGGGCTGTGCTATGTATTCTCTGTGCCAAGAGCAATGGAGGGATAGTGCCCTGATTGCCATTCAGGTGGAAGTACACTGGGGCAGGGACAGCTGCAGCACAGGGAACCAGTCTGATTGAGGTGCATGGTAGGGCTCAGGCTGGAGAGCAAAAGCTTTCCAGTGAGGAGAGCCAAGTCAGATGCTGAAGCAGCATCTTTCAAGCACGAGAGCTGGCTAGCTAAGGAGGGGCCGAGGCATGTTGCCATAGTGGGCTGTTCTGATTAGCCAAGAGCCTTGCTCTCAAGGGTAATAATTGACTGCCCATGAGGTATGCTGCAATTCCATGAGCTGAGACTGTGAAAGACTGAGAGCTGTGAGGTGAGTTATGGGAGTGCTCCAAGGGAGGCTGCAGTGTATGGAAGAAATCAGGACAGAACAGTGCCACTGGTCTTGGGTTTTTATCTGAATTTCTGCATCTGTTAAACCCTCAGGGGTAATGGATAGTGTATACAATGAAGGTCCAGATGGCAAAAAGTCCAGGCCTCAGCAGAACCAGTCAAGTTCTAGCGTGTGTTCTTTATGTGTTTATTGCAACTTGCAGCTTGCCATGAAAGTAATCTTGGCCAGCCTGGGCTTTCAGACTCTCATCAACTTCCCTACAGTCTGTTTTGCAGACCCTTGCCTTCAGGGTACTGAGCCAGTCTAGTGGGGAGAAAACTTGGGCTGTGCATTGCCAGAATAGAACTTTGCCCCAGTAAAATAGGAACAGAAGGAGAGGTCCTGGACTTCTCCATAGCATATGACTCTGAAGCAGAAGGCTCGATCCTGGTCACCTGTCCAGTGTCTCTTTGGTAACACTAAGCTGCTGCTTGTGACCCCCTGTAGTTGTGGTTCTGGCTGAAGCCACCTTTTTTAACTTTTTCTTTCCAGCATGCTAACTGTTTGATTGGGTAAAAATTGGCCTACTTCCCTTCTTAAGTAATGAACTGGGATACCTGACAGCCCTCTCACCAGCCAAAACCAGGCTTTTGTGTGAGCAGAATAAACTTCGAGTTGCTTCCAACTTCCCTGTGGCTTGCTGAGCACACCCTTGCTGTCTGCAGACCTCTCAGCTGCTTCCTCTGTAGTGCTATCTGGTTTGAGGTTTGTTTGTTTTTTGGTTTGCTTTGGTTACCATCTCTTGCTTGTGGCTTTACTTGGCTTTCTTGCCATCAGAGCAAAGTGTATAACACCATTCTGCTCTCCCAACAAACACTTCAGTCTTTTGCTGTCTTGGACTTGTGTGCTATACCCTTGCCTTCACTGCACATCTGCCCCCACAGCTCATTTCCTACGATGGAGCCTCTGCTGGTATCCTGCTCTGCTTTCACTGTGATTTCTTCTTTGCCACCTTGTAGTCAGAAAACCTGCAAAGACTTATTCTCCCTGCCTGCCTTTCTGCCCTTCCCTGCCCCCTTCTTCTCAGATGTTGCTCAGAAATGGCTGTGCCATAGGCCTGAAAGGGGAAAACAGCATTTAGTATGTCTGGTTCACAGCAATAAAAACATGGATCAGTTGGTTTAAGATAGCATGGTGACTAGCTCAGTCCTCCCACCTCAAGCTGGCTCCTGCCATTTGTCACTCCAGGAATGTCTGAGAGATTATCTCATGTGTTTTTCTGATACCTTGTACTAATGCAGACCGTGATGTGGAGACTCAGCTTCTGGCATGACAATTACTACATAGTGTGCTGTGGAATTACTGGGGATCTGAAATAATTGTGCTTAAGGTTTTGCATCATCCTACAACAAAGCTACTGAGGACATGCACAAAAATGCAGTTGTCCTAATCTTCTCTTGTTTCGTACTGCACTGGAGGATGTAAGTGGAGAAAGGCTTATGTGCCTTTGTCCATGCATGAGTCAAGTTCCCAACTCTTTTGTACAGGTCTGCTGTTGGCTTTCAGCAGGTCGCTAAGTCTGGATCTTGTTGCCATGTCATGTTTACATGAATACCTCTTTCTCTGACAGGCTGTCTGGCAGGAGATAGGATGTGGCCTCTTAACAATGTATGTGTGGCTTTGGAGCAATAAACCCCAAGCCCTGTAGGGAATCAATAAGTGTTACTACTCATACCAACTAATAATAACCAAAGTTGTGTGTTATATGGCATCTCTGGTAATCTTGAGTATCCTTGGTGCATCAGTCATGAATTATTACATTTATGTTTGTTTAAGCACCCGTGTGGGCTATCAGCTGCACTTGAAATCTGTGTAATATTTCTTGATGGAAAATTGTCTCTACAAGCAATACCTGCAGAGCTCTTTCTCAGAGTGTATGTGAGGCAACAGAGGCAAGTTAGAACACAGGAAATTCTGACTAAATATAAAGAAAAAGCTTTAGCCATGATAGTGGACAGAGACTGAACCAGGGATCCTGAGAACCTGGGGTATCTTTGTCTTTGGAGATACTAAAAACTTGACTGGATGAGGTCTGGAGCAACATGCTGTAGTGCAACCTAGTTTAAATATTCGGTCAGACCTGCAGGGTCCAAAGGTCCTTCCCAACCTACCTCATTCTGTGAGTTTTTTCAGCTGTGCCACATATGATTAGACTCAGGATGCACTATTGTCTGTGTACTAGAATTAAATTTCTCCATGTTATTTTCTTCAATATAGATAGTGATCCAGATGGACAGAGCAGTGAGGCGTATGGAGCCATGGAAGATAGCAGTCATTGTTGTGTCGGTGATAGTAGGCTTAGCCCTCATCATTGGCTTGATTACATATTTTTTGTGTAATGGTAAGTGCACCACTATTTTTGTTATCACAAGTCTTCAGAAATCTGTTGTGTTTCACTTGCTACTATGGTCTTGCCTGATGATTTAGGTGTACAATTCATCCCAGTATAGAACCCACATAAGAAAACATTCTAAACCCTATTCAAGATGTGAATGTATCTGAAAACATGAAAGAATACTTGAAATATCCTTTACTTGAAGCAGGGATTTCAGTTTTAACCCTCTTTTTGTTTCTTGTTTTGCCCTGGTGCCTCCACTGGTATCTATGGTTAACCAAAGGCTAGCAGTCTTCTGTATAAGCCAGAGGTGTGTCTAGTACTAAGGCTATGCATAGTAATCTTGGTCTTTGATGGGAAGCTCAATCTGGCACCTCTAGTTGAGAATATTCCAGAAAAAGAGAGGGCAGAGGATTAGACTTTTCAGAGCCCAGGAGTCAGTCCTGGTTGCCAAGGGCCCAGTTTCAGTAGCAGATCATAGAGTCGTTAAGGTTGGAAAAGACCCTTAAGATCACCAAGTCCAACCATCTTGGCTCATGACTTGAAGCCAAGTCATTCCATTTCCAGTCTCTGAGATATCAATGAGTGGTTTTGAAATGCCTTCCTACTGGAATGGAACTAATCATGTTGCCATCTCAGCTCACCAAGAGTCAATGAGGCTGTGGCTTGCATAAGGACACTAGAAGGAGCAGTGTCAGAGCTACAGCTTAGCTTTGCTTTTTACCAACTCTGTGTTATGTGGCCCCTCTCTGCCATTCATCTGAGAACTGGATTTTAAACTTAACCCAGCTGCTGAATGGATGGTGGCTCTGTGCCACCTGCCTCTCAGAAGGGCAGGGACATGCCAGAGTGCAGCTAGGGAGGAGTGAATACATCTGCTGAGTCAGAAGGGACATATGTGGGCTGGTCTGTCTCATACTGTGCTCACCTCAGGCCAATGAGAAAATGAACCCCAGAGAAATGCTGTAGTGCATATAATTTGGAGCTACTTGGGATGGTCCTCAAAGAAGAAATGAGCCCCTGGCTGGTCCATGGAGCAAAGGGATGGTCCAGAAACCTCTTTTTCCAAAGTGCTGCTAAAGCTGCAATTCCACAGCTGACAGGATTGCAGCCAGAGCCTGGGAGCCTTACTTGTGCAGTGTTCTGTGAGACACTGCATCTTCAAATTGTACTAAAGGAGATCAGCTACCTTTCTTTTTTTTCTCCTCTGTAGATCAAGACAGATTTTACAATGCATCTTTCCTAATCACCAATGTCAACTATGATCCTCAGTATGAAAGGCAAACTACAGATGAGTTCAGGAACCTAAGTGAAGAGATTGAAACCATGGTAAACTAAGATGTTTCTCTGTTTATGCTTGACCTATGGTGAAGAGTCCTGCAATTGTGTGATTGGAAATAAGAGTCAGATGTGACTGTGCCTCATCCTTATATGGCTGGCCTCACCTTTCAAACCTTGCTGTAGTGGGTTAAAGATGCGTTGCTGACTGTGCATGAGCAGATGGTAAGCACAGGTGCTGCCTGTTCCAGCAGTGCTGTGGTGGAACAGATGACCACAGAGCAGAATAAACAGTGAAATCAGCCAACTCAGCTGTTTATTTGGATCTGCATCCTCTGACAGAGATTTAGTGATAGCTTTGGTGTAGAGGTGGAGATCTGAAGGCATTTTGCTGTGTTTCAGAGGGTGACAAGACTGTTACGTTGTGTAAGCATGTACTTATTTCAGGTGTATTTTAACACACTCTTTTCTTTTAACAGATATCTGAAGTATTCAAGGGGTCCTTTCTAAGTAAAAGGTACATCAGGTCCCATGTTGTCAGTCTAAGGTAGGTAACATGAAGGTCAGAAATAAGCAGGGATGTGATAAATATATTTTCTTCCTATCCCTTCCTTTCCTGTGCACCATATGGAGCATTCCTGGTTGTTCATGCTTGAGTTATACCAGCAGGATGACTAAGCCTTATCTGGTTGTTGCTCTCCTTCAGTCACTGAGGGCTCAGTTACCTTCAAACATCAGCAAGGAAGAGAAATTTGGTCTTATGCTTTAGCAGATTGAGTACCTGAACACCAGTTGTTTGTGGCTATGATGCAGTAATGGAATTATTGGGTGATCCCTGTCTTCACTACTAGTTAACGGCTTGAGAAATGCAGAGTAAGCTCTTTTTCACACTTAATTCTTCCTGTGGAAGTTCAGGCTGGTGTTTACCCCTCTGCATGGTTTACAGTAGGAGGTGACTATTCTCCTCCCTCTCTGAAAGGGTCTAAAAGAATAAATGATTCCATTGTGAGATGAATGGATATTGACGAGGGAATACAGACATATATAGTAAAGGGAAGGAGGCAAGTGGGACATAAAGGTCCTGTGTGAGAGCTTTTAAGTCTTTTCTTTGCAGCACTCTCAGTGGTAAGAGCCATTGTTTCCCTCTCCTCCACATTATTTTCGTGTTGTATTTCTATAAGGCTCAATACTGCTGTGTAATATTTTTCCCTAGATAGCAAAGAATGCCAGAATTCTCACATATGTCTTTCTTGACAGCACTTCTGGGCTTTCTTGCCTTTACCTGTCTCTACCTGAAATGAGTAATTTCTTTAAACTGTTTTGCTTTGTTTTCTGCTGCTGGTTTCTTTTACAAGCCTCCCATAGTGTACATCAACTGAAATTACAGAACTTGGGAACTAGACTCCAAGTGACCTCTTTACACCTTTTAGGTTGACCTAACAGTGTATCTCTTCCAAACTTATTTTCACTACAGCTACTTTGTGCAACTAGGCACTGGAGCAGGTTAGCTGCATCTTCATGCTGTCTTTCCCTCTGTGCTTCAGTTGGTTTTCCTTTAGACTGTTAGTTTAAAATATTTGGCCTAATATTTTATAGTGACAGTAAGTGATCTCAGACTATTGAAAATTGTGTCTCTAAATACAAGGGATTTAACTGGCCAATAAGTGGACAAGTGACTTAAATGGAAAGAAATGCCAAAAGACCTTTTTAACTTCTGTGGCTCTAAACTGGATGAGCTGCGTGGAGGCCAAAGGGAGTGATCCCTTCTCTGCTTCTCAGCTCTACTGTTTATAAGTTTCCAGAAAATTCCCTCTGATCATTCTCATAGTGAGAACCTTTTGCTGCCTGCTGGCATGTCATCAACTTCCTTTACTTATGCACAGCTATGCTATTTGTTCTAGATGTTCTCATATAAAGAAGACAGACAGTGCAAAGCAGAACCAAGAGCATAGTGGGCAAAGAGAATGACATCACTTTGTTTTTGTTGGTTTGTAGCCCAGATCCTGGTGGAGTGCTTGCATCTGTTGTTCTGGTATTTAAATTTCCCTCTGCTGACAGTAAGACAACAACCTGGGGTCATGTCAACCGTGTGTTACTCAGAAGGCTGAAAACAACCTCGAAGTACTTGGAGGTTGACCAGTCTACCATTAGACTCACAGGCAAGTGCCTTAGGTTTGTGTTTTCAGCTTGGAATTTGTTGCTCATACTTTGCAGAAGTAGTATGAAAAGAAGTAAAACATACAGGCACAGATTTATGAGTGTGAGCACTCCTCTGTGCATCAGAGACTTTCTCTGTGTGACCTAGTTTTGCTGAATGAGATAGTGCTTTCTCAATTCATAAAAAAAGCCCAACTTTGTGAACACGGGTTCACATACTATTTTAAGACACACAGTGAATTGAATAAGAACCTGTATCACTAGGCAGTGAAATGCAGAGTCCTCAAGCTATTAAAAAATGCAAGGCTGAGATGGTTCCTTTCTGCACCCTATGCCATTTCCTATGCTTACTTGACAGACTGCTGGAGCAAGTATTCATAACAAAACACTGGGGTTCCCTGGGCAGTAATCCTCTCCCATGAATCTGTTGTAGGTTACCTTCAGAATCTGGCAGAAGGTTTTTTTGTAGGAAATAAATTAGAAATGTTACACTTTAGCTCCAGTCAACCCCAGCACTGAGGATTTGTGAAGACTGTTTTGACCACCTTGCAATACTAAACCTGAACAATTGCCTGTAGGCTGTACAGCTGGTGGCTGTACACCTTATACATGTAACTTGGACCTATTTGCTTTTGTTAGCTCTGAGCTAAGGCAAGAAAGATGTATCCTGTTGCCTTACACTTTCAGTGAGGAACAGAGGCTTAACTGAACCTATCCAACAGAGAAAATTACTCCTTTTAGTGTACAGTCACTCCATGAAGCTATGCAAGCCACTTAATTTGTGTTTGCTGGGTACAGGGAGGGAGTCTGTGCTAGATCATATAGCATATGAGATATACTCACTATGGTGTTTGCTTTTCATTTCAGAATTGAATAAGGAGAAGGGAGATAACCTTTTAAACAACTGTAAGTACAAATACTTTTTGGAAAAGGTCCAGGGACATGATGCTAGAGGTTCTGTGTTTACAAAAACCTTATGTTTTTTTGACAGAAGTTGAAAAAATAACTTGTTGCAGATACTAGAGCAGTAGACAGTGCATGAGCCCAGGAAGATTTCAGCTCATTTTCTTGCAGTCTTGCTGGCTCTGTACTATTTGTAGAATCAAGCATTCTGACTTGGTAGTCATTAAAGCACTTGCTTTAATGTTGGTAATGGGAAGTAGGGGCATGCAGATGAGCTGCTGTTAGCAAGATCACACAAGGACTACAGTTGCTGTGGGTCACAATTCTTGCTGGAATCCTTCAAAAAATATTTTCCTTCCTGCCCCTTCCTCCCTGCAGAAAGGTTTGGAAATAGATGTCTGTCAGATTTGAGCTAAACCTTAGGGAAAGGACAGATGGTGGGAGAGGAAGAAGAGCTGTCCACAGTGAGAGCAAAGCAGTGGCACAGCCCTGGAGAGTGGCAGGTTCTCAGTCTTCCTGTTCTATGCTCCCCCTTGAAGTCTTACAGCTTCTCTGGAAACTGAGACAGCATATGTTCCCTCCCATGGGACTACATGAGTCACTTGCATGGTCTCAAAGACTTTGCACATTAGCTTTCCACCTTCAAATGGCCTCTGAGAATTACCTGGTTTGGATCTAACTTTTTTTCAGCTGGGTAATACATGACGGTGCTGTTGGCATGGTAGCTGTAAGTAAATCGTTGCACTATTTTTTCTTGCTGCTGTTAAGGCTACTCCGGAGCTGACCTGACAAAATCCTTTCTTTCAGCGTCTCAGATACACAGCCTTCAGTTCCCATGGGAGTATATACGAGCTTGTGTGTCTGAAACCTGGCTTAATAAAAAAGTATTGACTCTTCTACCAAAATTCTTTGTTCACCCTTCATCTATCCTGAGACACTTGTCACGATGACACTTGATTTCCCTGCTTTAGGTGAAGGCTCTCACTTGACCTCTGCTCTGCTACGTGTGTGCTGGCAGCCATGAGGGCCTTCAATCAGCTAAATCAGAGCTGTGTTTTCTTTGACAGGCTGTGGAATACGAAGACAGGCATTCTCCTTCACAGGAGTTGAGAGAATAACTGGTGGGCAGCGTGCACTGGATGGAGAATGGCCATGGCAGGCTAGTATTCAGCTTGATGGGACCCATCGCTGTGGTGCATCAATCATCAGTAATATCTGGCTAGTGACTGCAGCCCACTGCTTTAAAGGGTAAGTCATCAGCACCTTCCTGATCCAACAGGCCTTAGGACTCTTGGGTGCTCTGACCTTTTGTGACCTTCTAATGTCTGTATCTGCTGAAAGATAATGAAGTTTGACTCTTCTTTTTCCCTTAGGTAAACCTGGTCACATTGCTTTTTGATGCTTAAGTGGAGAGCTAAGTTCCTTTGGGGATCTTGTTTTGTGTGGCTGTGACATAACTTCAAATATCTTACAGAGTAAGAGATCCTCGAAGGTGGACTGCCAGCTTTGGAATTCTGCTGAGACCTCCAAAACAGAAAAAATTTGTCCGAAGAATTATCATTCATGAAAGATACGGTGATGTTGTCCTTGGTCATGAACATGATGTGGCTGTTGTGGAACTTGCCTCTGCTATTGAGTTCACAACTGATGTGCACAGTGTCTGTCTTCCTGAAGCATCTCACATTTTCCCAGACAACACTTCCTGTTTTGTCACAGGCTGGGGAGCTTTGGAGAATGATGGTGAGTGTCTCATGCCTTCCTGTGCTGTGTTACACATGCATCTGAGATGATTGCTGTTAGTTTTATGTGGTTTTTGTTTATGTTGAGTCCCTTAGACTTGGTGTTTGATAGGTAGATGTCCTAATGATATACCTTTGGACTTTGCTTGCTTTTTTTTTTCTTTGTCAGTGGATTGGAAACGGGGGGAAGACTCTAGAGGTTAGTCTTACAGGAGTTAAGAGCAGCTTTTCTTTGTTGCTGCTTGCGTAGTGCTAGTTGAATACATTATGTTCTCCATTCCCACTGAGCCAGTCCCTTTGGGTTTAGGTCTGACATGAGTTCTTTCATCATTCAGCTTTTTCATAGATGTACCATAACAGTTTTTATCAGATATTCTCTCTTAGGTCATAAATGAGGCTTCATCCAGTGACTTGAGTGAGCTTCTTGTTCTTGTGGGTGACTTTGACCTGTTGGATGTCTGGTGGAAATTTAATACAGCAGAGAAAAGGCAGTCCAAGAGGTTCCTTGAGTGCATAGAGGATAATTTTCTACTCCAGCTGGTAGATGAGCCTACTCGGGGTGGGGCCTTGGTAGACCTGCTGTTTGCAAACAGAGAAG